TCGGATACGTCAACTTTGTTTGATGTGCGATGATGTTCATACAGCGTTTCTCTCTTGAAAGTGTTGCGAAATCACGAACATTTACTTTATAAGGTCGACAGGGGTCGTGTATTTCGGCTTTATAACTGGTTCTTTCATGGGGAGGATAAAGTAAAAAGTTCTGTTACATGCCAAAATCTTGCTGTAGTGATCAAAGTAAACAAAAAATAAAACTAATTTAAACCGTCCAAACATTTTAAGTTTTACTATTCTAACTTTTGTGTATTTCAAAATAAAATGGCAAGTAATGACTCATTTTAAGGGGAGCTTAATTCTCTTCAACTTGCATTATGAGTGATACTACTGTAAAAGTAAGGGCTAAGATAACAAAAGGCTAAGTTTATCTCAGAACGTGAGGCAATAATTTTTGTATTTTTTTTACTAGCAAATAACACAAAAGCTATTGGGAATAAAATAATGGAAAGAAACCATCTCATAGGCAATTTGTCAGCTTTAAATTTGAGTGTAACATTTTAGCTGCGATACACCGTTTTCGAAAACAATGTGAAAAACAATTTTCACTTCGTAGCAGTGTTTGGAGTAATAAAGTTATCAACGTATCAAAAAGTCCTCAAATCTACTAGATGTCGGGAGTATGAAAAAGAACTTACGAAGTCCATATTTGTATTTTTCGCGTGATCTTACATTTTTGAAAAAACAACTATTATTGCTGTATTTATTATGGCATCCAATAGCGAAAGACTGGACGAAGCAAAGTATTACAGCATCCCGGCAAAGTTTATCGGGACAACGAGGCGAACACAGATAAGAGTGATGATCGCGTATTTTACGGGACGTATACGAACCCCTAGTATACAAGAATGTTTCATTGGGAGCCAATTTTCAGTCTCGAGTCATTATAGTGTGATTGAAGAGATTATTTGCATAAAGGAATACAGGAATGGTCTCTTACGTGCTCTTTAAAACATTATAATTTCGGGCAAAACTTTGAAGGTACTTGTGCTTGTAAAATAAGCTAAACTCATCGTAACAAGCTTTCTTATTAGAATTGTTAATGTAAAATATTTATATTTTCAAATTTTTCAAAGTTGCTTTCCAGAATTGAGCGTGTAAATGTTTTGCAGTTACTATTTTTATGTGTATATCAAAATAATCAAATCGCATACATTAGGTTATCCGAAAAAGCGAAGAGAACTGACCGGAAGTTTGGTGTAAGGTTACAGTCGTGCTCCGTTCACGTATGGAAACATCGTCGCTACTCGGCCGGCAGGTCGACAGGGACGCCGGATCGCCTCTTGCTGCCCTGTTCCATCTCGTGTAACGTTGCTTGCAAGCACTTCGAACGGAACCTAATTGGGCTCGTTCTTGTGCGCAGCACAAGTGACTGCTTCTTGACTGGCTGGAGCAGCCGCAGAGCCGTCTCCTTCGATCAGCGCTCCCTTGTTCGCAGTGGTCAACCTACGTACCACGCAGCGACTCTCGCGGTAGTCTTGCAAAGCTTCTGGTACCATGTTTCTCCACCTCGCGCGCTTGTGTACTTTTCGTTGAAACATTCGCCGGTAGAGTGTGTTCTATTAAAGTGACTGTCATATCCACTGTCAATATCCGGTTTGCAATTTGCATCGTTGGAGTTATCATGGCCGGCATGGAGAACCAGTGGTACACAACTGGTGCGGACAATGGAATGTGGCAGAATACTGGACCCGAAGCTGAACAGTGGCAAAGTACTGGTGCCGAAGGAGAAACCTGGTTGAATCCAGGGGCAGATAGTGGGCCCTGGCTAAATCCTGCAACGGAAGGTGGACCATGGTTGAATCCAAACCAACAAGGCGGAACTTTTCTGGATCCTGCAGAAGAGGACGAACCACCGCTATTAGAAGAATTAGGGGTCGACCCAGCGTTGACTTTACGTCGTGCAGTGGGCGTGTGGTGTAAAGATTCGGCTGTTGTGTTGGGTCTGGGCGGAACGGGAGATCCGGACTTAGCAGGTCCAGCTGCTGTTGCGTTGGCTGTGGCAGCAGTGGGCCTAGCTACAGGCCGCGCTAATGCAGTGTATTTAGTGTCTTTGGCTGGACTTCTACTCGTATGGTATTTGGCAGGAGCATTGGGCGAACGCCCGCCAGCGTTAGTGGACGTAGCATCAGCATTGGGATATTGTTTGCAGCCTGTAGCAGCATTGGCGGCTGCTCGATTGTTACCAGACCCGTTGGGATTCGCTAATTCCCTGCCGTCATTTGTTGCCCCACTGACAGCTACTGCAGCAGCTGCGATTGGCGCTTTTGCGGCCTCCAGAGCTCTTGCAGATGCATCACAAGCTCGATCAGCCCGTGCTCTTATCGCTTATCCGTGTGCATTGTTGTACATTGCATTAGCATTACTTGCAGCTTTCTAACCCCATGTACATTACTCTTACCTAGACAATTCCAAAACATCAAGATATAAAAAAATATTCTATGTGGTTATTTTCTTGTCTTGTGTGCTGTTATTTTCAATTATTGAAGGAAGAGAATGTGTGCAGATTGACATTATGGTCATTTATTGATTTGACAGTTTGTTTCAGTATGTAAATTGAGATTGTATTCTAGTGTTTTTGGCAACAGTTTGTTGACATTGATGTTGGTGTTCACTGATATGTCGCCTTGGAATTAAGAGAATCTTCAAGTCAATGAAAGGGGATAAGGACTTGTCGGAATGTTTAATATGCGAAAGTTATCTATAACTTTGCATTGTTTAAGTTATCAAATATCATTATCATTAATTTCTGAAGTCGTTTGTGTAGTTGATCAATAATTTAAAAGTGCAGTATTGTACAACTGGTAATATTTAACTTTTGTAATATTTCTTTATGCAGTGAAAGCCTTCAAATATATTTCAAGCTGTTGTGAACATCAAGACTTATCGTGTAAAAAAAATGTATTATTGTTATGCTACCTGGTACTTATATCTGGAAAAAATAAAAACAATACATAATGTTTCAATGGTTCTTTCCATTTTGTTATTGTTAAAATTTTATTGCAAAAATATAAATTGCTCTTTTGTAAGAACTTGCAGAATTTTTAAATTGTACTTTGATCATTTTGGTTATATTTTAATGAACTTTTTGATGTAATGGTTATAAAATTTTAGCATGTTTAGTTGGTTTAGAAAAAATGTTTAAAAAACTGATTGATACATACAGTAAAATGTGTTTTTGATTGAGGGGGTAAAAAAATGTTTGCCCATTAGGATTAATTTATTTACTGTATGTGGAAAGGTTTAAATTTACTTTCCGAGTTCAGTAATGTGTGTCAGCAGTAAGCTACATGAATATTTGAGTCTGAAAGTATGAGCATGGCCATTTGAAATTTTTAGGATAGCATATTTCACGAAAAGTGACTCTAATGTTTATTACAACAGCCAATCCTTATTTAAAATTCTTGAACACGCAGAATTCTCAACACTTAAAATTGATATTCAAAGCTACTGAATTAAAAATATTTTAGCAACAGAATGATTAAAGTTTCCTTAACTTTTAGCATTTACATCTAAAGGGTGTTTTTCAGAGGATTAGAAATTATGTTAACTGAAAAGATGAATTGCAAAAGTTAAAACTTTCTTGAATTTTGTTTTGTAAAAATACAATAAATATCCTTCTGTTTATTTATCAAATTTCCATAAATATCTGTAGTATCTATCTCATATTTAACTGTGGTTGTACGCTAGAAAGAAAACTGCTTAGATACCACTGCATGCTATGAAGCATTCAAAAAGTATCAAAGCCAACAGATATTAATTTTAAATTGTAATAATTGTGCATTTTTTTAAATTTTCTTCAAAGTTTCAAACAAAATCTTAATGTTAATCATTCTTCTTAGTATTTGGCGGAAAATATCAGTAAAATGAATATTTAAAAAAGTAGTTCCATAATGTAGATATTTTTATTAAAGTATTACCTCTTTCAGATCTTCTTGAAATTTTCTGATAACTAAATAATGAAATGATGAGGTTCAGAATGCGCTAATGAAATATACTTTGTGTATGCATTATTATCAAGGCTAGGATTTATACGAGATCATGTACCTTAATATATATGTAGATACGGAATAAATATGTTAGAAATATGGATTAACAATTAGATAAAAAGATTCAAATAGTTAAAATAATGCATTAATAAAGTGTTAAAATTATATAAATAGAAATGTCGAAGAACTCGGTTGTAGTATTTGCTGAAGAATAAGATTTCAATTTAATGTTCTCTTTTTGTTTTCTTCACATAATCCTGAAAAAAATCCACAACAATTGAGAGCATTTTGTCAACATTCAATCTTCTATAGGATATAATGAAGGTCTGTATTACATAAAATACAATTTTAATAAATGACTACGAAAAATTATAATCTTTCATTGTACAAAATGTACATAAATTGTTTACACAAGTCTCTGCAATATCTTCATTCATAAACAACTGCAATGAAATAATGATTGTATAACATAATTTTGGGTATTGGTGCCTGTACAGTAACATAATAGAGTTCTCCTGATGATGGCCACATTTCAAGGGTAAAAACATTGAGAATTATATACTAAATACTTTTGAAAAAGTTATTCCTGTAAATTGTGTGACAAATTATTTATTCCTAAGAATTTCTTGATATAATGTCAAATTGCGATTGTTACTACCCAATTCCTTATTCACGATTATTTGAATATAACTTAACAATAATTAATGTGATTTTTATTAGTAGATAAATTTTTGGAAACTGATATAGATCAAACTACACCATTGTTTCACATACAAACTTAAGTATAATTTTTCTTACCAGAACTTCTATATTTAAGTGCCATCAGTGCTATAATTAATTGCCTTTAAAATATTTGAGGTGTGTGTACCCTTTTTTCTACACCTCTATATCTTAGCTATTGAAATTTCTCTCGTACAAGCTTGGTATTCCTCGATAGCTGTAATGTAGACTTATTTTAGAAATGTTATGAATGTATAATAAAGATTTATTGTTCCTCAGGACCAGATCCCAATCAGGCACAACAACCTATATTGGTGTGCACTGCCCATATTCATTGGGACCCCGAGTTCTGTGATGTGAAGCTCATCCAAACTATGATGCTGAGCAATGAGCTGAGAGGCATTTTGGACCAGGAAGCTGCAAACCTTCAAGGTTTTCAACGGCCCGGTCACAAGGTTGACTCTGGCACAATCCAGCTTCTGTTGTGTGGAGACTTCAACAGCTTGCCTGATTCAGGTAGTTATAATCTACTCACATCTGTTTGTAGTTAACTTCATTTCCCAAATCTGGTTTGCTTTTGATGTGCAAAAAAACGCTTAAGATCATATAGTTATTTATATTTCATAAGATTTTACACTTGTTAGGGAGCAACGTAAATACAGAGAATTGAAAACATGATGAAGGAGACTATTTGCAAAGTTTTCTCCCTATTGCAAGTTAGCCATCATATATTTGAAACAAACAATCTTAAAAAATGATTTTATGATTAGTGATATTATGTCTTCACTTGTCAAATTGTTATGCTTATTTGTTTTCAATACTTTAATCAGATGTTTAATACTTATCAACAATTTATTATTGTCATAATTGGATATGTTATGTTTTAAGGTTTTAAGAATTATGGGTAGGTCAAGATTAGTACAATTGAATCGTTTATTTCAGAAAACTGTCAAACACGTCGTTTAGTGCATATTTATATGAAAAACATTCATTTATCAATTGCTTTAACAAATAAAAATATTTTGAAATCAGATAAATTGGAAGACTTTTTCTCAGTTTTCTCAAAGTGAGGAATGTGACCTTTGATGGCTTTCTCAAATAAACAATTCAATTCTGCTTGCCCATTAATTAGTATTCAGTCTCAACAGAAGACCAAGAATAATTGGATGTTTCATAAAAAACATTGTTAATGAATGAGTATACTTGATACCAATCATTTAAATTTAATGTTTGTTTCTCTTTTTTGCCAATTTTCCCAAGAATGGAGCTGTATAAAACTAACTAATTCTGAGCTAGGGAATTAAAAAGCATTATTTGTTAGATATGCAATGATAAGTTAACTAGTAATACACATAATTTCTTTTATTATAGGTAATGGTTATGTATTATTATAATGATTCAATTTCTATCCTGTAACACGAACTATTTCACACCATTTGGTAAAAAAATCTAAATCTTTAATTTCTTGAAACTTCAAAAGTTGAAATAGAAATGGCTTTCTGCTGCTGACAGTTGCGTATTGTGTATTCTTACAAAAAGTTTTAAAACAGAAAAGCAAATTTTCTCAATCATGAATTTTAACATAAGGTAACATACCACAATACAAGTGATGTTCCCTGATTCAACCGTATCATGTTCCAGAAGCAGTTCATTTAAATTTCTTGAATTAATTCTTAGTGTTTCAACAATTATTGTATAACACAACTTGTAATTATGAGAAAACAGCTAATAAAGAGAAGGTTCCAGAAATTATTTAAAGATCTAATATTATGGAGATGTATTAAGAAAGAAATGTCTAACCTCAATACTAAGGTGTCAGATCTACCATGCGTCTTTCCTCCTCATCCATCTTCGTACGAACACATGCACGCACACGCATTCTGCTGAATAGTTAATTGTGTTTATATACTTGATGTAAAATTTCTATGTCAAAAGGTCTCTAGCAAATCTACCTCATAAGCTCTTTAGAATGACACTTCAGTAATTAAAATCAATTCAAAACTCTTATGTTACAAAAAAGGATCTTCTCTTAGTAAGAAGTATTCGGTTTGGCTAATCTGTTACTTCTTGTGTAGGTGTGATAGAGTTCCTGACATCTGGACGTGTGCCTGCAGACCACAAGGACTTCAAGTCTCTTGCATACAAGGCATGTCTACAAAAAATCTCAGGCTGTGAGAAAGCCAATGAATTTACACATTCCTTTAAACTGGCATCTGCATATTCAGAAGACATCATGCCCTTTACAAATTACACGTATGTTCTTTTCTGTTACTTCTTAGTTCATAAAAATTTGAAGTAATTTTTGTAATTTGGAACATTTTGTCTCTGTTGATTGCAGGTTTGATTTCAAGGGTATAATTGACTATATCTTCTATTCGAAGAACAGTATGACACCGTTGGGATTACTGGGGCCGCTTGCTCCTGAATGGTTGAGGGAAAACAAGGTGGTGGGTTGTCCACATCCTCATGTACCCTCAGGTATTTTCATGTGATATTGTTTTGAACCTCTATCCTGTCATTGTATTGTTTGTTTTCACCTGTGGCTGTCAATCTAAAGAGATTTTTCGAGAGGAAACTTCGTATTGTGGGCCCCCAATACAGAAAATGTGGATAAATTCTGTTTTAATATGTAGTAAATTTCTCCCTCTAACACATTATTTTTCCAGGTTTTACAAATAGTGTGTGGGTTTTTGTTTGTTTGTTTTCCTTTCTTTTTGCTTTTTTCTCTCCCCCCCCCCCCCTCCTCCTCCTCCAAACCATCCACCTGTCTGCTGTCTGTGCACAACACTAGTGGTTAAATTGCACGTAGAATTTGAATGCTGAACTGAACGACTCTCGCTCGATTTGGCCTCATTCTAAGCTCTGCGATTTTTAATAACATTAATTAATTTAGGGGATACTTCACATGAAGCCCTTGAGACATTTTCAAAATTAGCTCAAAAAGTGCTCCAAATATGCTTTTTTTTATATTTCTGGTAATACAGTGAAATACACTTATGAATGTAGAAGAGTCAATAAGTACTGAAGAGATTGTCATGGTTACCTCTGTCTGGATGAAAATAAACATTCTCCGTACAAATTTCACGTGATTCATGCTTTCTGCTTTTTTGCTCCGCACTGGCTCTCAGAGTACTGGTTCAAAGAAACTACACGATAATTGCTTGCTGCCAACGTACTACTAACTTTCAATGCGTCCAATACACATATTGCTTAGATTCTGTTCACTATCACTACAAAAATGGTCGCAGCTTCTCTGATTTTCAACCAGTGTGAGCTCATCATGTCTAATGTGGATAAAGTTGGATTCCGGGACATCCGACAATCGGTATATATTTCGTCTCAGTTGCCCAGGAGGCGGTGCAACCTCTTAGTGATTTTTCGAGGCAGTTGAAAGTCCATTTCAAAGAGCTTTGTACAAAAAAATTATCTTTATTATTAATTGATCTTGCCTTCTTCAATGCCTTCAAAGAGTAGCGAAACAGATATATTCGAAGTGTGCCGCCAAATTTGAATTAATTTGACGACTCTGAACCAACAGATGTTTTAATTGTCATTTGTTCTATTCATTTATTTTTTCATAAACTACACTAAGTATTGTATGTTTTTCTTCTCTCTCGCATCGTTAATATGTGCAATACCAGAGATTTGTATATGCTTATATTTTACACATTTATGAGTAAATCTTTTCATTGAAAATGAGCTGAAAATCATGCATTTCAGAAACTGTTAACAAATATACAGTGTTCAGTGTCAAACATCTACTGTTGTTTGACGAGTTGCAGTAGCTGGGTTAATCTTAGTGTTTATGATGCCGGTTGGCAAATTGAAAATGGTAATTCTTGTTAAGAAAATTAGACTTCTCAAGAAGATAAAAAAAGCATTACTTCTGTCATGGTTTTGATAAGAAAATTTAAAGTGGGGAAAACTCAAGTGTATGAAACCTTAAAAACAGACAAAATGAAGAATGAGTGGTTAAAAGAAATTTTTTATTGGATGCTACTACAATGTTCACAAGGGCCTATGCAAAGAACCAAAGCCTAAAATCATCAAATGAATTGATCCGTTCCTACTGATGAAAATAATATTTCTTTTACTTTCAATGGAGTTTTTTTGTTTTATTAGATTTCATGTTGTTTTTCTATTTGTGAATTTCTTTCTCCCTTCTGGTGTATCTTCATTTCTTTCAATTGTAGTTTTTAGGTGAGATAAACTTCTCATACAACCTATTCCATCTTTAAGTGATTGCATTTTCTAAATTAGTAGTTTTTATTGCAAATCTGAATAAGCGGGAAACCTGGTCAGAAGAAAATTTTTGTCCCAAATTATTCCGGCTTAGACTGATTTTACTGTACAACCAAATTCTATTTTTTGAAGACATATTAAATGTAAGGAGATCCTTAGCAATTTATTAGCTACATTTGATCCTTTTCTATGTTAATATCATTGGTTATGGGAAACAATGTGTGTTTATTATAAAGATTGCAACTGAATAGTCTCAAAATACCTTAAATCTCAAAATATACTAAATATTTGTAACATGAAGCATAGTAGATATAAACTGTATATATTGAATGCAAAGAGAGGATTCAAATGCTACACTATTTATATCCAGGAAATACATGAAATTAGTAATTATATGCTAACACCAGATCCTTATTTCTTGAATACTTTGCGATTCCTTGCATTACTTAGCTAATTGACCATTTTGTGGTTTGTGTTAAAGAGTGCAATATTTGCAGATCATTTTCCTCTGCTGGTGGAGCTTGAGATGATCCCCACAGTGCCACCAGCCAGCAATGGGCTGACAGTGCCCCGCAGGTAGCGTCCGCCCACGCGGCTGCCCGCAGCGCCCACTCATGCCCGGACGCACATGGCCTGACGGACCACTTCTGCTGTCTTGACACACGTCTCAATGTGTGGTGAGCATCTGCGCTGCTGCTGCCGCCAGCAGACTACGGGACTCAGCAAATCATTGTACAATAAGTGAAACATCTTTTGCATTATATTTTTTTATTTAATGTCAGTGAAGTTTATTTATAATTGTCGATATCAGTGAGGTGGATATGTGTCATGCTGAGTGAGAATTAGAGTGCTAGGGAGGCAAGTGAGCCCTGTCCTCCTCCCTCTCCTCTTGGGACAATCCCTTGCACAATCCAGCAGTCACCAAATCTAGTTTGCCAGTATACTGTTTACTGTATGTAAGTAGAATCATGCTTGAAAATATCAATGCGCTAGTTAATACAGAATGTTTCCCCACTGCCTCGTGGTTCAATGCCTGTCTTGTACTTTACTTTCTTTATTTTTATTTTATTTTTATTTTTTTCCTATCTGTATATTTGGTAATTTTTAAGCTGTCAAGCATGGCGTATGACTTTTATGGATTATTGCTATGTAAATAAATGGTTCAGTTTTAAATGTTTATGAATGAAATGTACAAAAGTGGGAAACGTGAGGCTTCATTGTGAGACTGGCCTCTTGCTTTTATATTCTACAAGAAGTGCCACAACTTCCTCAGGCCGGGTAGTGCATTTTCAGGGTATAGAAATCCTGTAAGTCCTGTTTTTCTCTCTAGATGTATCTAATTTTCGAATGACTATTGTAACAGGATGACCTGGTATTCTCACTTTTATTCAGAATGACCATTGGATCATTGATGGTCACAAAAATTAATAAATGCCTGGTGTGCCTCCCGGTTTCTATGTAGCAGAGTAGTGTGTTTTGTTTGTGATGAGTAGGACCAATGGTGCTTAGATAAATGGTGTACATGGTAGATTATTGCTACGATTGGGGTTGGTAAGGTGGGAGCTTTGGTTTGGACCTTGCAGGCAGTATATCATGTTCAACTAAGACAACCCCTTCATTTCTCAGTATTTTCTCAATTTCCTGTAGCTGTGAGGTTGTAATTTTTCTGGTTATATCTCCTGAAACACCTTTACATTGTTCTATCAATCGCAAAGTTTTCATAAATTTGTTGTCAGATCAGAATATTGATCTGCACAATTTGTTACATAAGAGAGTGCAATTAATTTGTAATGGTGAAGAGATATGATCAGACAGGGACCTCTCCACATGTAAGTGCTAGATTGCAAATCAGATTAAAACAACAGTATTCAAAATTCTTCAAGTGTTTGCTAGTGTATTTTTTATGATATTGTGATCATTTTACCAAAGCAATCAGAGTGAGCGACACAAAGAGTACAAAATTCCATTTGTTCACTAGAGTTATGTCAAGTTAGTTTTCTTCAGACAGTGGTCAAATATTGAATAGGACCAGTCATCCCAGTCCATGACAATGCAAGTTGTTATGTTTGCTAGGGCAGTTGCTTTGAAATCTGGCACTTAGCTCTGTGTTCTCTAGTATTAGATGAATGGGTTTCAGTCAAAAATGTATGCTGTTGTTTTCATTGTGGTACAAATTAGAGTACAGTTTGCTATTTGTTTTTCTGTTTGGTGCACACTTCTCATCTTTCACTGCATTTTTAAAGACCCAGGCCACCCTGGGCATTGTCCAAGTTTCCTGTGCGTGTGCACTTTGCATCATTGGGCATGTGCACATATATGGGCAGGAGAAAGTGTGCCTAGTGTGTGCGAGCATGTAAGTGTGCATGTGTGAAAGAATGTGTGTGTGCCAGGTGGTGGCATAGGCACTGCCATATGCTTCCAACCAGGGCAGGGTGCAAACTGTGCCATGGTATACACTGTGAAGGGAAACATTATCTTGTTTTCCATCTGTCGCAGCTGTTATCTGTAGAGAAAGGTTTTCACCTTCCTGGAGTACATAGTGTTATTTGTGCTTAATGTTATGTAAAAACTTTTGTAGCACTGCAATATTATTTTAGAATTTCTATCATACAATGTGCAAGTTGAATAATGAATGTTTTAAGAAATGTGTACTTAAGAATAATTTAGAACCACTGCTCAAGAAGCATCAGTTTCTTGTACAGTCTAACCTGTGTCAAGAATATAGAGACAAACCTATATGCATGTCCAGTATTGTATCTTGGAGAGAAGACGGACTTCCCACTCAACAAGTCACAAATCTCTTATTTAAATGCTCTGCAAGTCAGTATTTTTGGAATATACAAATCATGATTTTTAACTTACTCCTGCCAGGTACAGTGGAACCCCATGTGTCATTTTGTCTTTCACCTAAACAAATATTTTACTTGAACTCGCTTTTGAAACTGCCTTGTCTCTTTCTGTGAGAAAATGAGTATGTTAAAAATTCAAAATTATCTTCAGAGGCCATTTACAAACTGGGGTTGCACTGTATGTGTGTTGATGGGCAAGCAAAGAAGATATATTTGTTAAAGGGATATCCATTTTTATTTATTAAAATCGGAAGTTAATTACTCTTTGCTGTGTTTCATTTACTCAATCTCCTTAAAATATTGAAATGACAAGCAATATAATTTCCATCCTTTGTTTTCCTTACCTTCCCTGCTACATTTTTATAAACATTGTGACATGTGGTACAGGTTCCTATTTTGTTGCTGTCCTTTAGAAATGCTTAACTTACTGAAATATTTCCTCCTCTTTTTGTTTATTACACTTTTTTAAGTGAATAATAACATTTAAAAATAAAAAAATTAGGGATAATTTACTTTGTGATACAAAATGTCTGTCTTTAATATTAGAGGTATAGGACAGTTTTGAAAATAAATTTAAACTTTTGCATTTTTTTCAATTTCAGTGATTTTAATTAAAATCAAATCTGTACTATATTTATAAAAGCAGGTGTGTGTATTCGAGCCAAATGTGTAAAGGAAAAAAATAGCAGCCATTTTTTTTTTTTTTTTTTTTTTTTTTTTCAGAAAATGTAACTGTTGCAAGGGTTTCATGTGAAGTTCCCTAAAAACAAAAGTAACTTAATGATCTCCAGAATAGCACCTCTTTATTTTATTCTGACACAATTGAGTTTCAGATCTAAAGCATTTAATCTGATTTTATCCTGGTGTTTGGAAATTGCCTGTATCTCCTTGCCACATGCACCAATCTTATCAACCTTGGAACAGTTCTAATAAACTTAAATCTTACACTTGCAACATAACAACTCCAAAGAACTTTAAACAATAGATCTTACAACCAAAACTGTCAGGAGCATATTATTAAGGTGAAGTCAATACTTTTCCACCTTATGCTATACTTTAGTTTAGGGAGGAAAATAAAAAATGTTTTAAGAGATGGTAGAAAAAAGTTTGCTTGGGTTTAACGAGTTTAACCATCAGTTACTAATGCTGTTATAAATTTTGCAACAAATTTGAATTTTAATCTTTTTTTTTTTTTTTAAATAAACATTTGTACTTTATATTTTAAAATTTTTTCTATCCATTACTTTTGAAGATGTAATGCTACATAACGTGTTTGTTCAAAGTAATTCAAAGTATTCCTCCCAGTATAATAGGATGTTTGTAGAAACAAATTTTTAAGTACCACGAGAAAAGCACAATTCAAGGTACTTTGTCGTTACCATTTTATTGAGATTCTAATGATGAAAGGTGATCTTTGAAAAAAGAGTAACAATCGAGAGGATATCAAGGGGGTCAAACCTCTACACAGGAGTTTCCCTGACACATTTTATCATACTCAAAATCAATAATATTTGAAGTACTTAATGTTCTAAAATGATTTATTGCTATGCAATTATTTACAAAAATCCATTTAATATATAATTTTTAGTAAGTAAAAACATTTGATGAGATTCATGCAAATATTTGAAAGAGTATATGCATTTTCTACTTTTCTTTTTATTGCATTTGTCCTGTAAAACTTGTCAGCAAAGGAGAAGAAGGTAGGTAATGAGCTCATAATTAATTAATGACTTTCAAAGAGAGGTCTGTTAGCAAAAAACATAGGGATCTTCAGAAAGGTTGAAATTTTAAAAGGTATAATGTGATCTGAAGGTCCAGTATTTTAATTTATTTTCATTGAATTAATATACGGACTATGATAAAAAAAATCTAAAAGTAAAATACAGTTCTTTAATATCTTTTTAAGAATTGTAGATCTGTTTTTTATGTTCATGCTGTACTAATAATATATCGTGTATTCTAGCAGATTCATCACTTTTCCAGATGAAGTATTGAGCCTTTTAAGGAAAGTACGGTATTATTTCAGAAGTATTTATGTGGGATATGGTTTATGTCAACTGTTTTCATCGTATCATCTCCTCCATACATCACATACAGTTTTGCTGTTTTTTTTGAATAAATAAACTATTGGTGATTCAATATCACCTAATTATTGCATTATTTCTAATGTGTGCAATGTTTGAATATTCAGTTTTTAACGAAAATCGGGCTGCCACATCACTCAATTGATAGAGGAATAACAATTGTGGCGAAAACCTTCCCTATGGTTGACCCGTGGCGTAGTGCACGGTCGGGCGTTTTGCGTGTGGTTTTTTAGTACATAGTGTTAGAGGTAGGTAATTATTTACTACCCAAAGGAACGAGACTTTTCCTTTGTTGATGCAGTCTTACCATACTTTCTCAGTTCTACGTAGATAGTATTCGAGAAAGTAATTTAAACCAATAAAATGAAACTAATGCATTCAGAAAGAAATCATTGACTTCAATATTAAAGGTGTAAGATTGATTCAAAAAATTGCGATTTTCGAAATTCCTGAGATTTGTAATGAAAATCAGTCTCTGTCGTGTTGTTAAGAGAAGATGCTCTATTCAAGCTGAAAATTTAAGGAAAATTCTTGCAGCTGTTTTTGAAAAAATCTTTATAATTCATCAGCATCTGCTATTCACGAAATTCGAATATTCTGGAGTAGAGATGCTATACCGGTTTTTACGTTTGCATCCAGTCATTCGGGCGCCCCTTTTCTCGAAAGCGAGCAGAATTCAAATTCTTAAACGTCATCTAGGAACCCAACGAGGCTCAAAGCATGACGCAAGATTGTTAAGTTGAAATTTCAATTCAGAATTATACAATAACAATAATTTTAAAATAATTTATTTGCGTCAAATTGGAGGCGTGTGCTTTGACTTTATAAATTAAAAAGACGTTCATAATCTTTGGACATCTCATGATAATGATATTGAAGAGGAGCTTCAGTAAATCATCACCGCAGGAAACCTCGAAAGTAATGATGAATAAACTGCATCCTCGAGCCACTTCAATGACAAAAGTGTTGGTAACATCCGAAAACATCAACAAGCTCTGGTGAAAAGTGCACTCGAACGAGATCCGAAGATGCAAAGAAATTTGAGAAATGAAAACAGAAGTAGCAACTCTTCCATATTTGGACGTTTCTTATACAGTAAGGAGAAACAACCGAATACTATATCTATCATTTTCAACTATGAAATAACTCTAATGCATTTTATTTCTTCGTCCTCCTCCGTCCAGCAATGCTCCAACTTATAAGATCTAACAGTGAAATTCTTGTCGGTCTATGAGCTCCTTAGTGAAGCCTTACAAACGCCTTGGCGCCCCAAAATCTGTTCGTGGCTCTAAAAGGATGGTCTCAGTGCATAACGGTGCATGCATGTCCCTACCGTAACCTGTAAGTTGTACGCATAACCCAATGATGTACATCGTTTCCATAACCGCTCACACCATTATCAAATGTCGGCAGCTGTGAATCAAAGATTGCAAATGTTACTTCTCCCGAAATTGAGATCCTGCAAACCTGTCTCCAATGTTAATTCTTGAAGGAAAGAATTACAAAAAACTGTACAGTGAAATCCAGAGAACTGATTAATGATAACTTCTGGAGTGTCTTATCATTTCTCCAGATCTACAAGAAGATTAACATTACTAAATAGTAATAGTTATTAGTTTCACACATTTCGTGATCCTAATTGTAATATCAAAAATACCATCCTACACAATATCCTAACTAATTATTCTGAATGTGAAATTATTTTTTTTATTTTAATATTCTTTATTTCCGGTTCAATTTTATACAGATTTTTCACGCCAATTGAAGAAATTATGTTAACATAACTGATTTTGGAGATGCCATAAATCTATATCATAATCATTGCAATTATGATTGGGTTTCAATAAAAAACGGAATAAAACTAGAAAATAAATTATAATTTAGTAATTTTTAACATTAGTTTTGGGTTTTAAGAGAAGAATTACTTAGAAAGGATTTATAAATTTGTTTATTTACGGAGGGTGAAATATACCTGTGGGGAAGCGAGAACTAATTTGTTTAATTTTATAATTTTGTCCTAAATCAAAATGTTGAGAAGCAGGAAAAATTGTTGAAGAATTTAGAAGATTGATTAATTATAAATGTCTTAATTAATCCTATTTCTAAGTTCTTTATGTGTCTGTTTATTGGAGATGAACCATTCAGCTTTTAGAATTCTCTGTGAAAATTTATTTAATGGTTTGTATTTTCTTCATGTTTGACATGAATGCATTGCACCAATTTCAGCATGTTTATGTAAGTGATGGTTTTATTATTGTTTTAAATATTGATTTACCACAATCAATTTGTAATTAAAAAAAATTACTTAAGGGATATAATTTTGATATTTTTCGATAAGTTTTATTATTAATATTTTGAATGTGTGATTTCCAGGTAAAATTACAGTGGAAATGGAGACCTAAATATTTAATTGGAATATGATTTTCTATCCAAGGTATATTTATATTATTTATTTTGAGACATGAGAGATTAGTAGGTTTGCAAAGTGTGAAAATTTTAGTTTGTGTTTTAGATGGGCTTATTATTAGTATTCTCTATTGTTGGGTCATTTAAAGAATTTGGTAGAATATTTCAAGCAGTTTGTATATTTTTGTGAAATGAAAAAAGAGCAGTATCATCAGCATACAGTGCTATGATGGTAAAAGGAAGATGTGGAATATATGATGTGTATATATTGAAAAGTAAAGGAGAAAGTGTTGAACCTAGAGGAATTCCAAAGAAGATACATCGAGAAGTAGAATAAGATGTATTAATTTTGATACAAAAATTTTTATTATGTAGGTAGTTTTTTATTATTTCGAATAAATATTTGGGAATTTCTATTGAATGTAATTATTAATATAGTATTCCAGAATGCCAAACTTTATAAAATGATTGGACAATATCAAGGAAAATTCTAATTGTATGTTCCTTTTTAGGAAATTTTTGTGCTATTAATTCAGAAATGCATAGTAGTTGGTCATATGTTGAATAATATGATCGATAACCAATTTGGTAATTAAAATTGCTTGTATTGAGGAAATATAGGATGATAACCGAGAGGGTAATAGGTTTTAAAAAAATATTAGACAAGAGACAAATAGATCTGTATTTTAAGGGAAGGTCTGGGATCTTTGGAAATCTGGAAGGAAATCTTTGCCTGGTTTACGTATGGGAATAATGTAGGCTAATTTCCATGGTTGCGGAAAATAAGAAATAC